GGTTGCGATCCGTTGCCGGTCACGAAAAAAGACAAAACGGAAAAAAAAAAAAAAAAGTAGTGGGTATGTCAGAATGAAAACTGACTTCTTAACCATTCAGTCTTCAATAAACACAGAATGTCTCATGTGTGCCCTGTACTGGGCTGGACACTAGGGAAACTGCTGAACAAGACCTTGTCTCAGCACTCAGGGAGTGTATAGTTAGTACAATTACTTTGAAAACTGTTTCACAGTTTCTTAAAACTTAAACAGACTCTAGTCCTAGTAGCAATTCTACTCCTAGGTATTTATCCAAGAGAAATGAAAACATAATTCATAAAAAGCCTTGTACGAGAATGTTTATAACAGTTTTATTCATTATACCCCAAAACTAGAAATAAGCCAGGCATCCATCACCAGAAGAAGGGACATGGAAACTGTGGTGTGTTCATCAATGGAATGGGAGATTTCTCAGTAATAGAAGGGAACCAACTACAGATTCATGCAACAACATGGTTGTGTCTCAAAAATAACATGCTGATGAAAAAAAACTGGACACAAAAAGGTACAGAACGTCCAATTCCATTCCGTTCCAGAATAAGCAAAATGGACCTGTGATGGAAAGCAGATGAATAGTTGCTTCTTGGGGTGGGGGTTGATTGGAAAGGGGTATGAGGGAGCTGTCTGAGGTGATAGAAATGCCAGAATAAGCAAAATGGACCTGTGATGGAAAGCAGATGAATAGTTGCTTCTTGGGGTGGGGTATGAGGGAGCTGTCTGAGGTGATAGAAATGTTGTATGCCTTGATATTTTTTCCCCAAAACTGATTAGACTTAATATCTGAGAATTTCACTTCATGTAAATTTATGTCAACAAATAAAATTAACTACATAAAGCATTTTAGAGTCTAGAGGGAGAAAAAAGTGACAAAACATTGTGGAAGTAATAAAAGTATCTACTGGGCTCTGTAGGGTCACACAGGAGAGGCTCCTAACCTGGACTGAGAGGGTCTGGATAGGCTTCTGGAAGAAAATGACCCTGGAGCTAAGTCCTGAAAGATCAGTAAGAAGTAACCAGGTTGGAAATAAAAGGTGGCGGAGAGAACATTCCAGACAATGAAAGGTAAGATGGGCAAGGGGCCCAGCCTTCTCCACAACTCAGAGATCTCGTGGCTGGACCACAGGGTGAGAACAGAGGGAATAGCGTGAGACGGGGCTGAGAGACGAGAAGCCAGACCAGGCCTGGAGGTCCAAGCACATAGCCTCCTGTGCTTCATCAGGGACGACCAGCTTCCAGCACAGGGAGGCTTTGAATAAGCCCATGAAAGCTGACCCAGAAAAGCCCTAAGAGGACTGGACAACAGCCCTACTCCACAGGCCCAAATACTGGCCTGGGGGCTAAACAAAGCTCTATCTGTAATTCACTGTGTTGCATTTGGGTTTCAAAACACAACCCATGTGGTAAATCATGCTGGGATATGTCATTTGGATTTCAGCTGTTCCCAAGGGAGAAAAAATGTATTTGAAGGGTGTGCCACATGCAATGAGTTTATTTCAACATCCACTGACATCAGCGTTTTTTCCAAAGTATGTGTCAAGGAAGAGTAGCCCTGCAAGATGCTGGGCTGGGGAGGAGGATGCTGTGGTTAAATAGGTTTGGGAAGTGCCACTTTTGGAGATTCACACTGCAGATAAGCACAATAGAAGTCTGGAAAAGTTCAGTCCCCAAACAGCATCTCCCAATATTATCTGATTACACGAACTTTTTATCACATAATAACTAATAACAAGCTGTGGAATTGTGGAACATTTTTTGAGATGTGCTGACTCAGGTAATACCCAAATGAGGTATAACAAGTCTTTGGGGTCACCAAAGCAACCATTTTAGAAGCAGTCAGGTGGCTCAAGTGACCAAATGCACTTCCTAATAATTTATTCCTTTCTCACCACAAGATATAGTGGTAACAGTGATAACAGTGACTGTGCTTACTGGGTGCTCACAAAGTTCTAAGAGTTTTACATTATGTAATCCTCATACCAACATCCAATTTTACAGATGAGGAAACTGAGACTCACTGATTAAATTTAAAACACTTCTGCTTAAAATTTCGCAACTGAATGACAGAGTAGGAGTGTGAACCCAGGCGTGATTCCCAAGCCTCTGCCTTCATCACTGTGCCAGGCGGCTCTGTCCACTGTTTAATGTCAACCAAGTGCCTTCTTCCACGTGTTAATTGGTTCATCCACCCATTCATTCATTCAAATCCCTCACTTGAAAGTCAAGTACTAATAAATGCACATAAGGTTCACTACATTAGAAAAGTGTGTTTTTAGTCTATTGCTGCTGAAACTTAGTTGTGGGTTGAGGGGGTGACAGTGACTGTGCTTACTGGGTGCTCACAAAGTTCTAAGAGTTTTACATTATGTAATCCTCACACCAACATCCAATTTTACAGATGAGGAAACTGAGACTCACTGATTAAATTTAAACAACTTCTGCTTAAAATTTCACAACTGAATGACAGAGTAGGAGTGTGAACCCAGGCGTGATTCCCAAGCCTCTGCCTTCATCACTGTGCCAGGCGGCTCTGTCCACTGTTTAATGACAACCAAGTGCCTTCTTCCACGTGTTAATTGGTTCATCCACCCATTCATTCATTCAAATCCCTCACTTGAAAGTCAAGTACTAATAAATGCACGTAAGGTTCACTACATTAGAAAAGTGTGTTTTTAGTCTATTGCTGCTGAAACTTAGTTGTGGGTTGAGGGGGTGAATTCTTTATTTTCTCATCTTAGAATGGCAGGGAAAAGTCACACTACCTGCTTTCCTCACAGGAACATGTCTGGTCTGATTCAGTTCTTGATCATTCTGGTCAAAATATTTCTGAGCAGGTTTCAACCCTAGTGTTTTCTTCTGGGTCAGACCTAGTCATTTAATCAGGCTTTTTGTGAAACACATTTTCTGGAATTTTCCTGAACCATACATCCTCAAAGTTAGCCAATGGTCTCTCTAAAAAACTGAAAATAATCATCATTAGAAATACTATAAGTCTGAGAAAATGTTTTACCTTTAAGCCCACCTTGATTTATAAAAAGAAGAATTTGTGTCCTTATCCTATCAGTGGAGGTGGGAAGAACTAGATACCCTAAATAGTAGGCAAGAGATTGAATCTGACAAATATATCTGTCATATCTGCATGTCCATAATATCTATATCTCTTATCTGATGAATATAAAGAGGAAATATTTTAATTTACTGGCAGCAGCATTTGAAAAATTCCTTCGTATTCTTACCAGGAGCAATGATAACTCCCATGAATAGGATACTTTTAATGTGATTTTTCCCAGTACTTTCTTTGTGCCCAGGTCAGAATTTGGCTTTTTGCCCTATGTTCATCAAGGTAACCAACTCATAGCCAGCTCAGAGCAGAGGGAGCTCAAAAAGATAAATTCAGTATCTGATTTTTCACAGTATTCTACTGCAGACTGCTTGATCAGCAGCCCTATGTTCATCAAGGTAACCAACTCATAGCCAGCTCAGAGCAGAGGGAGCTCAAAAAGAAAAATTCAGTATCTGATTTTTCACAGTATTCTACTGCAGACTGCTTGATCACCTAAAATAACTAAAAATGTTTTTAAAAACCAAATTATGTAGGTAGTCGAGTGGAATGCCCAAAAAGGAGACCAAACACTGCCCCCCCCACCCCCGCCGCAGCAAGACCACATTCTCCTTTCAAGGTGGGTATGATTCCAGTCCACAGTCCTGAGGGAGACATTAGTGAGCAACTGCACTTTCTCATACTGGAGCCTGAATGCAAAATATGGCCTCATCACCACATGCTGACTAATAGACCATCACATTCTGGCCAAAACGTTCATTATGGTTTTTTCCCTCCAGTCTACATGCTGATGAAAAGCAGTTTGCATACGCAAAACTTTGTGAGTATATTTTAGGACTCATGCTGAACAGAAGCAGCAAGCATCTAAAAATATAGGATGAGCTCTACTTGGGTCTATCATGCCAATGTGGATACATTAACACGTTATCAAAAACAGTACCACTTTTTGGTAGCAATAAATTCATCAAGAGCCAAAAATTTAACCTATTCATTGGAAGTAAAACAGCTTTGAAAACCTTTAGTTTCTTTAAAGAGTGTTCAATTCTAATTGGGTGGAATATATATATTAAACTTCCACATTCTTGGTATAAGAGCATTCCAAAAATAGAACCATATGAAAGTTAATAAAGAAAATACAATATACATCCATCCAAGGGTTCAGGCTTATATCATTTTAAGAATATTTAATAGCTCCATATTTACCATGCTAAAATTAAGAAAAAAATCTATCATAGCTAAACAGTTAACTGCAAGGCACGTCTGAAATGACAAGAACACAAGTTCAAGATTCTCAACACACATGTTCTAGAAGCTTTTGGCAAAGCCCAGTATGTGACATCTCCTTGACTTCTAATATCACACTATCCCATCTTCTGCCATCTGCCTCTAGCAAATGTCAGTGTATTCCCAGGATAGAAATGTCCTTCTTTTCTGAATCATTCCTACAAAGGCTCCCAAAAATATGGCCTCCTGCAGTTCAGCATGATTGCCCTGAATTCAGGGGAAAACACAAACCATAGCCTTCTTTCAGTCATCCAGCAGAACTCCCCCTGTCTAAATGATCAAGGTCTAAATTGAATGAGGGGCTGGCCAGTTAGCTCTGTTGGTTAGAGTGTGGTGTTGACAACACCGAGGTCCAAGGTTCCATCCCTGTAACAGCCACCCACCAAAAAATAAAAATAAATTAGTAAGTAAATCGAATGAAGCTAACACTTATAGACTCCTATACTGAGAGCCCAGGAAAGGGTCAAACTGTCTTTGAGAAATGGGAACTTCAAAACTCAGAATCCACAAGAAAGTACTGAGGCTTCTGAGGTCACATTAGAAAACAGAACATAAAACCACCTCCTCACTTGGGGTTTTGCATGAAGAGATCTTTGAGCATGCAATTGCTGTTTTTTGTTTCTGGTGGATTTATGAGACTCTTAGAGTGCAATGCCCTTTCTGCACTGTTACAACATTCTGTATGATTAATTGATTGCAAATCACTGCTCAGGGTGCCAAGATCACTGGTAGGAAGCAGGTCATTAAATAAAATTAAAATTCTGCCAATGTTTTGTTTGTAAATGTTTCTTCCAAAGCCTTATAGCACCATTCTTTAAAAAAAAAAAAGGCCTCAATTCACCAGAGCAGCACAGTCTCCTGTACTTTTGGTGGATGATCCAGATATTCTATATTTAATACAAACATTCAGCATGTTATGTTGTAGGAAGAAAAAGCTATAGTATAATGAATTTCCCCAGAGAGCTTTGGAAACAAGTCAACATGAAAATAATTAAATTTTGAACAGCCTTACTGTGAAATTGTTCAGCGAAAGGCTTAGAGTCCTATCCTGCATAGCTAGAACCTTTGGAAGCCTACATTTTTCCTTAGGTAAATCTTCAAACCAAGCCTTAATATTTCAAATTAAATTGAATTAATAACTTATCCAAAAAGAGAATGGATACCCTGGCCTCATATCCAAGGAAACGCAACTGTGATGTATCATGGCAAATTAACATCTGCATAGATCAAAACTCAAGCCCAGCTTATTTGTTAACTGGCCCAAGGTCTGAGCAGAACAACAACTCCTCCACAGCCAGCAGTGTCTGAGAAGTGATCAGCTAAGAACACAAGTGCGATTCAGTCACAGTCTGGGGGAAAGCAAAGGAATATATTTCTTAAGATGCCACCACACTTCATTTTAAGCTCACTATGATAAATATGTGATATTTCAGGCAACATTTTAAGGCTGACAAGTAGAAGGCCATGCCAGAGAAATGTGTTCACATTCTAGAGCATATTTTACTAAGTAAATACTAATTGTTTTGCCTGGGGAGATACATTGGACTGTTAAATAGGATTTAGCAGAAGAAAAAGCATTTAAGAAAGTGTTTCATTGATGTTGAGCTAGTCACCCAAGCTTAATTTACTGGTGTTCAAGCTACTTTATAGTTTAAAAAAGAAATACTCCAGTGAATAGATAAGCTGACTAATTGTTATTGATATAACAATTAAATGCTACATCGTTTATGTGTCATCTCCCTAAAATGACAGCAATGGATTCATTTCTCCAAGTTTAAACTAAAAGCATTTTATGAAAAACACATTTTAACTTCTTGAGTTTTGATTTGCTACATATGGCTATATGGGGCCTATAAGCTCAGTGTTCTAAATGGAAAAATAACTCATATAAAGATACGCTCTCTGGAGTTGTTTAAAGAGTATGTATATCAAACTGATAAGTAGTACTGTATGTCAGTAAACAAATTTATGTCAACATTAATGAGAAGAAAAGTCTGTAATTTTTAAAGTTTATTACTAAGAATCCAGTAAGATATTAAAGGCAAACAATCTTATAGTTATGTTGACTTAAGAACACCATTTAACATACACCCATCTTCCCAAAGGTTTGGAAACTCTCAATCCAAGTACTCATCTGTCCTGCCTGTATCAACTGCTATCATTCCCCAGAGCTCTGATATCCTGTCTCAACTTCTTTCAATACCTCAGTAAAGAGTCAACTGTGAGGCTCAAGCTCACAGTTGCTTTCATTTCCGCTAAAGAATGTGGACCTCGACTCCATCATTCATTTCATAAATATTTATCAAGTGTTCATTGTATGCCAAACACCATGCTTAGTGCTTGAGAGAGAGCAATTAACAAAGGAGACACGTGTAATGCTCCACTATCACGAAGCTTCCTCTCTAGCAAGGCAGACACTGCATAAATGATTACACACATAATTAATTCGAATTACAAGTGCTAATAAGTGGTGCTTCCTGGTGATTCTGAACTCTGATTTTTATCAGTTTCTCCAGGACTAACAAGGACAAAGTGATTCAGGATAACCACTCAAAAAGAGATTAAAGTCATAAATCAGAAAACAATTTTTAAATTCAAAGTGAGAAAGGGTTTACACCAGAATACTCCTACTGGCTGCTTTTGACATTTTCTTTGTAGTAGGGGAGCTCACTCAGGAGACAAAAATAGGATTAGAAGTTTTCCTGGAAGTATATTTACATAATGCAACCAACAGGGGTTGGATGGTCTGTAGCTATGCAGCTCTCTATTCCAAATCAAAATGTTCAGTCTTGTCAGAATATCTTACATTTGGGTGCTTATATTTAGTTCTGAAAATGTGGGTGACTGATGTAACTTGTTCCACCATGGAGAGGAGCAAAAAGGAAGCAAACTGGTGTGTTTTGGGGGCTTCTCCCCTGGACAATTCTGGTGATACACAAACAAATGCTTCCCCTGAGACCAATACAGAAAAATAGTTAGCCTTTTTATTCTAATAAATTTCTATCCTAAGTAAAAAATTCCCCAATTTACAGCTATTGTTTTTGCTGTTGTTACATTTTAAACTGTTGGATTTTTTTTTTTTTTTTGTCCTTTTTGAGACCGGCCACACCGTGCCCAGCCAGTGAGCGCTGTGAGCACACCAGTCATCCCTATATAGGATCCGAACCTGCGGCAGGAGCGCTGCCCCGCTCCCAGCACCGCACCCTCCCGAGTGCGCCACGGGCTCGGCCCTAAACTGTTGGCTTTTTAATGACATGCAGGAGACACTTTCATTTTATTAGGAGTCCACTCCTGAATCATAATTAGAATGAATTATTTCCAGAATGTAGGAAGGAAGCTGATGCCCATTGGATCTCCAGGACATGCTAGGCATTTCCTTTTTTTTTTTTGGTAATTCTGTTAACACTTCTTTCCCTTTTGTACAGATGGGGAAACTAAGACTTAGGGATTAAACGGTGTAGGAGTCTGAGGCAGGGTTTGAACTAAGGTCCTCTAACATCAAGCCCAGCACTCAGACTCACAGAGCAGGAACATGTGCCAGGCTGGCTGCTTCAGAATCACCAAAAGGAGAATGTCAGATCCACAAGAGTACAGGCTCTAGCCAAGACCTGATTCAAATCAGAATCTTGGAACAGAGGAATATGTACTTTTCTTGCATGTTGCAGGAAACCCTAATGCATAGCAGCTACGGTTATCATAGTTCTAGCAACAAATCCCACCCATGTATCTTACTTCTCATTAGCTTCACAGTTAGAGGGTGGCCCTCCCAACACCGTCACCAAATCCCCATTGGGATTTGGGGGTTGAAGTTGTGGAGAAAGTTCTTTCCAAGTTTTAAATCACTGGTCTTAAACTCCATCCAGTACAGTCAACTATATCTTTCTGAATGTTTCACAGTCATCAAAGAAAAAGTTGTCTCATTTGAAAAACAGAGACAGTAACCATCATCTCACAAGACTGCTGTAAAGAGCAAATGAGGTCCTGGATTCAAATGTGCTTTTGAATGGCATGAAATGCCATATATTATAATATCAATTCACCCACAGATGAATTTATTTGGATGAGCATTCCAAACCAGGAAAAGTGTAATCTTCATAACCCATCAACTTAAGCAGAGGAAAAAAAATCTGGAAACTAATATCTGGGGTAGGCAAACTACAGCCACCTGTTTTTATAAAATAAGGTCTTACTGGAACATAGCCAAGCACATGCTTTACCCTTTTGTCTACCAGTGCTTTCAAGCTATAGCGGTGAAGTTGACTAGTTGTAACAAAGACCTTACATGGCTTACAAAAACTAAAATATTTACTATATGGCCCTTTAAAAAAAAGTTTGCCACCCCCTGAACCAGACAGATGGTGATGTTCTTCTTAGGCTAAAATGAAACCAGTCAGTTACTCAGCTG